CATCTCTGTATTGGAAATTCAGGATTTTTTAAATATTGCCTTGTAGAATTAAGAACTTAAAACTTGTATACTATTAAAGTACAGATTATTAGCTGAAATTTTATGCTATTCTAATTGGTATAACATAAACAAAAAGGAGTTTAATAAAATTTTGAATGTAAGACACTAAAATCTTGTGTTATGCTCAGTAAAGAATACCCGTGGTGATAGGGTTAAATGAATTAATAAACACCATTGGTAAAGTAAATGGCAAATTTGTACTGTATACTTCTCTTTTTGTTTCTCTGTTACACCCAAAGCACATTAAGTTATTATTATTTAACACTCTTGTAGCACACACCTAGAGCACAGTTTGATCAGCTGATTAGTTTTTGACAGTAACAGTGGATAAAATATTGAAAAACGTCTTTAAAAAATAAACCATATTTTTTCAGTGGCACCATTTTTTAAACATTGTTTTTAATATCAGCTTCTATTTCATTAACTTATTGTTTAAATTTGTTATTTTTGCCATTTTTGTAGATTTCATTAAAAAATTAAAATAGGTTGAGGTACATTATTTTTTAGTTAATTCTAAACTGTTGTTGAAATGATACAGTGAAATCTGGCACTTTTTTTTAGGACTTGAGCACTGATATGTAAACAGCATAAAGTCAGAAAAGCATTCAGAAGTCACAATACAGTCTTTACCAAACCACCTAAAGATAAATGGAGAGCTTTTAATACCACTCTCTGTACAATAGCACATCATGTCAGAGAAGAAGACCATAAAATTAAATAGACTAATGCTAAAATAATAGATATGAACCACACATAAGAAAAGAAAGATAAAAGAAGCCTTTTAAATCCACCTAACTGATAACATACTCAGTCAGCCTAGTATAGAACTCTGGAAACCTAGATACTCCTCTTGAAAGCATTAAGATAGCTAGTTAATTCAACTGCTAATGAGGGAAACACCAAAGTGGTGGATAGCACACCAGCTTTTCTATCAAGATGACCCAGTATTGAATTGTGGCTTCTGCCACTGTATCTAATTTTTCTCAGGATTTCTATGAAGACAATAGTAAATTTATAGTCAAAATGTTGGATATAAACTAATTAGTAATTAATATTTTGTAAAGTGAAAGAAAATAGGTAATTAATAATTAGACTTTGTGACCATATAAAGTACTAACCATGACAACAGTAGATACACAATGGTCACAACCATACTAACACTTTAGTATAGGAAGGTCAACTATTGAATTGTGATTCCTTATATTATTTTATTACTAAGATTGATCAAATTAAGTATTTATGTTATTGTTAGATGTATGAAATATGTGCAGAGGATGTTATTATATCCTGGTATATAGTTCAGTTTGTCAGTAGTATAGTAACATATAGTAGCATATTTGTGCAATTGGTAAAAAACATTGATTATACTTTCCAAGCAAAATATAATATGTCCCTAAAAAAGAGAATGTTTCCACATTATTTTAATACCAAGCACTTTATTGTATAATGTTTAACTGTTGATAGAATGAATCAATATTGTCATATAACATATTACCTGGGAATGATTGTTTAATATTTAAGTTCCTGTTTGACATCAATTCCTATATCGGAAGGTACTTTTTCTGGATTTTATTTCACTGTAGTAATTCACCTTTATAAAACTAACTTGACCCACAGTGAAACACAAGAACTTTATTACCAAATCAACAATGACAAGAGATTGAATAAGGCAAATTAGTTCTAATAAAAATCACTAAACTCATGAAGTGTATGGATCACTTAGAAGATGATGTTAAAGTTAGTTAGGCATTTAAATAAAAAATAAAAAGTTTATATAAAGAATTTACATGACTGTTTTTTATATTGCTGCAGCTATTTTTATTTGTGTCTTGCTTATTTTTTCTATAAGTATCCACTACTGTACA